TTTCAGGGCTTTCGGCAATGTGTGTTCAGTGAGAGGAGACGTTCTCGTGGACAATGAAAGCATCTGTGGTGACTTCGTCAATCTCAAGATAATGTGTCGGTCCAGTCTGTCAGAGATGCTCATAGGAGCAGGATGTGCATGTGCGTATTCATACCGATGAGTGTATGTGCGTATGTATGAGCATCTATGTTTGTACCGTGTTAAAAAAAACTATTATAACAGGACAAATAACACCAGAAGTAACATGAATTATATTCAGATTCGTATACCACCTAGTAACAACTACCATCACTAGTGTGAGCCGAAGAGGCCGGCGTTATATTCCTCGTCGGAGACGGTAAACCTTGTTGTACTAGATAATCAAACTATTGATGTAGAAAACCATGCAAGTCTCAGTAATATGTAGAAGTAGGATTGGTTTAACTTGTCATAATTTAGGATTAATAACCAAATTCAATTTTTTTTTACCTTTTTTGAGGAAACCCGATTTTGTAGTACTGTATTCAAATTCGTGCTCTTTCACCCGATTTTTTTTTTTGTTCTTTACCAAAGTATATTCAGATTCGGATAGACTGAGAGTGTCCGAGTCCGGGTCAGGGTACGTCCGTTTCGGCGCTACATAGCCCAGGCCCAGGCCAGCCGTAACCCCACGCCTTACCCAGTCTTTCGATTCAGTTCGCGCGACCGGTATTCAGTTCGCCGCCGCGGGCAATCCCAGGGTTTCCGCCACCAAATCGCCGGCGAGATGTTGGAGGAGCTGCTCATCTTCACGCGCGGCGGCCTCATCCTGTGGTCGCTGGCCGGCGCCGCCGCCGCGCTGAAGGGCTCCCCGATCGACGCCCTCGTGCGGTCCTTCCTCCTCGAGGGCCGCTTCGCCTCCGCCGGCTTCACCCACGGCCCGCACGCGCTCAGGTGGGCCTACGACAACGCGCTCGGGCTCGTCTTCGTCGCCGTGTACCGGCGGGTGCTCCACCTCCTGTACGTCGACGACCTCCTGGCCGCCGTCAGCGCCGACTTCGCGCGGATCTACGAGCCGCGCCGCGCGTCCTATGACGAGTTCGGCGAGATGTTCCGGCAGCTCCATCTCGAGGCCGAGGCGCGCGCGTCGCGTCCACCTTCCGTCTCCGCGAAGCCTGCTCCAGCAGCTTCATCCCCTGGCGCTCTCCAGCCCCATGGTGGCGGTGGCGGTGGTGGTGGTGGTGAGGGTGAGAAGACGGGTGATGAGTCTGGGAAGGATGACTCCGATGGTGAACCTTCCCGGCAGGAGAAGCACAACTCAGCAGCAGATGGTAGCGTCAATGGTTTGGAAGAGAATTCTCATACCGGCCATGGTGGTGGTGTTGTGAAAAGGGAGGAGGAAGGAGGTCCCAACAACGGGGCTTTTAATTTGGAAAACATAAAAAAGATATTTTTTCCGCACAATGATAAAGGCGGAGACAAGCCGAAGAGACCTGTGCACAAGGATAAGAAACCGAGACCAGGGAGAGACAAGAAACCTGTACCCGAGGATAAGAAACCATCCGAGAAGAAGTTGGATTACTCCAACCCGGCGGATCATAGCGGAGGGGCTGGGAAGCAGACGGCTGTCAACCAGGGGAAGAGCATGATGGACAAGGATGAAGCTGTGAGGAGCACAGCAAAGGATGGGTGGTTCTCATCAATGTTCAGGAGCATTGCAGGTAGCAATGCAGAACTGAAGGAGTCTGATCTGCAACCTGCACTCAAATCTCTGAAAGACCGGCTCATGACCAAGAATGTAGCCGAGGAAATTGCAGAGAAGCTCTGTGAATCAGTTGCGGCTAGCCTCCTAGGCAAGAAGCTTGGGTCGTTCACACGGATATCCTCTTCTGTTCAGGCAACTATGGAAGAGGCTCTGGTCCGCATTTTGACCCCAAGGCGATCTATTGACGTACTGAGAGATGTTCATGCTGCCAAGGACCGTGGCACGCCATATGTCATCGTCTTTGTTGGGGTTAATGGGGTAGGCAAATCCACTAACCTCGCAAAGGTTGCTTATTGGCTTCTTCAGCATGATCTTAGTGTCACGCTGGCAGCATGTGACACCTTTAGATCTGGCGCTGTTGAGCAGCTGCGCACACATGCTCGCAGGCTTCAGATTCCAATATTTGAGAAAGGATACGAAAGGGATCCAGCTGTAGTGGCCAAGGGTGCGATTCAGGAAGCCACTCGGAATAAATCAGACGTTGTTCTTGTCGACACTGCCGGGCGTATGCAAGACAATGAGCCACTCATGAGGGCACTCTCCAAGCTCATCAATCTCAATAACCCGGATCTGGTTTTGTTTGTGGGAGAAGCGCTGGTGGGAAATGATGCTGTTGATCAGCTCACCAAGTTTAGCCAGAAACTGACAGACCTTTCCACTGCTCCCACTGCTAGATCGATAGATGGCATCCTGCTTACCAAGTTTGACACCATTGATGACAAGGTTGGAGCAGCGCTTTCCATGGTGTATGTATCTGGAGCTCCTGTCATGTTCGTTGGCTGTGGTCAGTCTTACACTGACCTCAAGAAGCTCAACGTAAAATCCATTGTCAATACCCTCCTGGAGTGAATACTGCGTGCTGCACTCCCATATTTACTTCATAAATAAGCCTTCTTATCTTTTTAAACCTCCATGACTTTGCCGTTGTCACTAATAATTATGTGTAATTCGTGGTTTGCTACTTATGTAAGGGCTGGAACTAGAAATTTCTGTGTTACTTTTAAGAATTTTTCATGTATATTCATTTGGCTCTTGTTTACTTCCTAGTTAAGATTACAAGAAATTATTGTCTACTCAATCTTTGGAGCAAGAGGATTATGGTACAAATTTCAGTTGAGCTCAAAGTAACAGACGCATGTGGTTCCATTATTTCGTTTTGATACGAAGTGCTAGCAAAATTTATTTTCATCTTTCGTAAACGAGAGGTGTGCAATCAAGCCTACTGAAACTTGTTGAGTGCCAATTCCATTGATGAAACAGATGATACTCTGAACAATTTTGGTACTTCGTCGCCTTAGCTTCAGCCTCTGAAGCTGGCAATCTGTATCCAGTTCGCTTTATTTGCCAACCTCTTGTACGCATAATAAATTGTCTCGTGCTGAGCACGCCTCATGCAATACTGTACAATAGAGGCGAGGCCAGATAACAGTGCCAGTCTTCCCTCACCTGAATCCCCTCATCGTCAGTCTGTTAGCTTACATTGTGATGTTATCAGATGTTTCTCAAAGTTTACTTACGCTCCTGTATCACTGAATATCCAAGTTGCAAATTTTATCGGATCGTGTTGGAACTCGGCTCCGTTCTTCAGATTGATTCGTATCATACTCATAGATTGCAAGTGTGTGCCAAAGTAATAGTTCCAAAAACAAAGTGTGCCGAAGGGAGTAAGGGACTAATCTAAATATATAGCATAGGATGAAAATCAAGATAGAAAGAAGAAACTATCACTAGACATGAAATTGTAATCAAATGAGCTCCAGAAATAAGAGAAATGAATGCAGATATAATGGTAATCAAATGAGAATTTCAGAATGTTTTGAAGAGACAGCAAGCTTGCAACCATAAACTTCTGGAGCAGAGCAGTCTAAAAAGCACCCTCCATTAATTACTTCGAATTATAAGCACATGAAAAAGAAGGGATTCAGTCTCAACAGACACCTTTTTCATAGTTGAATTGGCACACCTCCAGAATGGCATATTGTCTTTCAGAGAGCTGCTTTAGTGATGGAATATTCCTTCGTGAACACCTTATCAATGAACTGAACATCCTCGAATAATAAGCCATCTCACACCGGATAAATTGTTCAGATGCACGCATTTGGTAGCCTCATCGAGACTTCTACAATATTATCCAGACATCAACATTTTCTGATTTTAGTATAGTTGAGTAACATATTTTCGTGCATCACATGTTGCTCAATTCTATGGTAATCACAGAGATATTTTTAGTATATACCAAATACATGTTTTTATCTGTGAATATCAGCAAGTATCACAGAGCGAATAGGTGTTTTAATCCCTGACTATCAGTGAGTATCACAGAGCGAGAACTTCAAGCCTTTGTAGCAAAACAGTATTGTAAGGGCAAGAACTGTACCAAATGAGAGTTGTCCTTTGGTGAGATCTGTTTCCGAACCTGTGGTGTATAGACAGCACCGTCACCGGGCAACTAAGTAAAACTCAATTGGCAATCAATGTCAACAAAAAACACATTAGCTTTTCATTTTGTCAAGCTAATCTGGATCTGACAGAAAAAAATACATTGGGTTAAAACGTACACGCCAAAAACACCATTATATTTTCAGTTCCATCACATCAGCTATCTAATCAGGCAACACTCTAGTAATTTGTAATTACTTAGTTTACTTTGATGCCGACATGCAACGTTTACCAAAAACTAAACTGAAGTACCAATCTGATTTACATTTACTCCCTCCGTCTCAAAATAAGTGTTTTTGATTTAGTACAACTTTGTACCAAAGTTGTACTAATTCACTTATATTGGGACAGAGGGAGTAGCTTCTTAGCAAAACAGTTTAACTATCAAGTCAATGTGCCAGTAAAAATAAAACATGAAACAGTAAAAAGGTTTTGCTGCAACAATAATTGAAATAATGCAGCAATGTTCTCCATCCAATATGATGCCAGAAACATAAGTTGTGAGATAAAGGTTAACACTCTCGCCCAACATCAGTTCTTCCATTTTTACAGCAGCCACTGAGAAGTGCTGCATACTTAAACTAGGCCTCACACCAACCGATACCAGCGCATTAGGTATTCTGAGAGCTTCCATCTTGGCAACTAAGCAATATCCACCGGTAACTGAAGTAAATGTAATAGCATCAGGCCTCTCACCAGTGCGGATAACCAAGTCAAAGATAATTTATCCTTCCATTACCATTACCCTTCTGCAGCCTATGACCAACATTCTTGTTCTTCATTTCAGTAATCAATTCTTTGGCTTTTAAGGAATCACCATGACGAAAATAGCCCTGGATCATGCACCTGTAAACAGTTGCGTCATGAGGTACCCTGGATCAATTCCTTGGCTTTTCCGCGGTCTAGGATGGATACCCTTGGTCTTCATTTCAGTAATCAATTCCCTTGCTTTCAAGAAATCACCATGATTTAAGTAACCCTGAATCATGCACCTGTAAACAGTTGCGTTATGTGGTACTCCCATACCGATCATCTCATTGAAATTTTCCATAGCATCATCCATCATGCCCACTCTGCAATACCCGGCTATCACAGCTAAATATGTGACTTCATCAGGGTTCACTCCCTGCTTCAACATGTCTTTGAAGAAAAGAATAGCCACATCCATCATCCCACACTTAGCATATGCATTAATCAGTATGTTGAAACAATGGAGATCGGGTACAATACCATCTCTTGCCATCAGCTCACAGAGATCAGTCATTTCAACAAGGGATCCTTCTTTAGCGTACCCACGAAACATAATAGCATATGAGACTATATTAGGTTTATGGCCCTTCTCAACCATGGAATAAAAAAATTCTGCAGCTTCTTTGATTCTTCCATGCTTGCAAAGGTAGTCCATGACTGTGTTGCAAGTAAAAACAGTTGGTTTGACGCCTTGACTTCTCATTTTGTCCAACAACCTAACGACCTCTTCAAACTGGCCCGAAATGGAATATCCATGGATCAGTTTATTATATGTCACAATATCCGGTTGAACCCCACTATCAACCATTTGTCTTAGGACCAATTTTGCCTTGTCCATTGCTCTTGCTTTGCACATTGCATCAATAATGGAATTATATGTCCACACATCAGGCACGACCCCCCGCTGTTTCATTTCATGGAATAGATTGCATGCTTTGCTTACTTCACCCTCCTTAAAGAAGCCATCGATTACCATGTTGTATGATACCACGTTGGGTGAGTGGCCAGCTCCTTTTTTGACCATCATCTGGAGCAGATTAAGTGCAAGCTGGCTCCTCCCCTCATTGCAGAAGCCCTTGAGGATTGTTGAGTAGGAGATGACATCAGGCATGTCTCCGGGCATCCTGTGAAGCAGCACTCCCACAGCCTCGTCCATCCGCTTCATGTCACAGAGGCACTTGAATAGGCTGGTGAAGGTAACGACGTTCGCCATGAGGCCTGTCTTGAGGAGGCGGCCAAAGAAGGCGGGCCCTAGCTCTGGGCGGCGCGAGCGGCAGCAGCAGTCAATTAGTATGCTGTAGGTGAAAATGTTGGGCGTTATCACCTGGTGGCCTTCTCGAGCCATGCGGTTAAAGAGAGCAATGGCTAGAGCAGGGCCGTCGGTGCAGGCAGCGGAGGGCAGCGCACGCGCGAGGGAAGCAAATAAGCCGTTGAGTGCGCACGCTGATACCGGAACCGTTTGGCGCAGCAATTTGTCGAACAGTTGGTGTGCGCGCTCCGGCTGGAGCGTCCCAGAGTCCAGATGATCCTTGAGTTTGTTTAGCAGCTGCTGGTTGGCGCGTGCGGAGACGGTGCTGGAGGACGAGCCGGGTCGCACGCATGGCATTGCCGCAGATTGCGAATGTCGGTGCCGACAAGGGTGGATAACGGACGGAGGTCAGACACTCAGCCCAACTTGGAACTAGACTGAACTTCCTTTCCAGGCTTAGGAGCAGATCAAATCTGTAAATCTGTAATCAAATTCAGATGGGATGGCAAATCATTTTGCTTTCTACTCAACAATCGAACATTCAGCACAGAAATCTAACCTTGGACTCACCGAATCATGCAGTTTCCACTCCCCTAATCGCAGGCCATGGGGGTTCTCTTGTCACAACAATGCTGGAGACCGGGGGGAGGGTGGGTGGAATGCAGTCGCGGCACAGCGGAGGGTCCGTCCTACCGGCGCCCTTCGCGGTGGTGGCCGGCGACCTGGTCGGTGGATGGCGCGGAGCGAAGCTGGCGCTCGAAGGAAGATGAGAGGCACATCCACGAGGAATAGAGATGGGGCGACGGAGGAAGTGGGCAGCGACGGCGTGTTTGCAGGCGGCCACAATGGGGGGAGTGGTCAGTGGTTGAAGCAACAAAGAAATCACACGAGAAAACCAACCATTGTCAGTTATGTCCTGCGGTCCTGCCCCAGCGTGACTGAATGTCTTATCTTTCTGTTCACGGGAAAAGATGAGATTTCTCTTTTTTTCAAAAAGAATTTAGATATATTATAAAAGTTCACCAAAAGTATAAAGCATCGTTAATATAATTAAAATTACGTCAAGGTTCCTAGACCACCAGACGATCACAACGTTGACAAAACGAGCCGCCGTAATTCTTTAACATTTTGATTGACACCTGCAATATATCAGCGTTCAGTCGAAGACTGCATCGACAAGTGCATCATTAATTCATTATCACATACGAGCTGGGCAATCTTCTGGCCTTAAGCTGCATCGTCAATTCCGACTAACGCGACAGCTACCTGGAAAAGACATAGAATACAACAATAGATGCACCTCAAAGACAGGCAAATCACTAAGAGCATCTCCAACAATAATGTGCAATAACTGTCTTTCGGGTCTTAGGGCCAGAAAAACACTTTCAAAAGCCGCCCTATAGCTATACCGTGCAAAATTTTAGGTAAAAACCAAAAGTGATGCGTCGGGAGCCCAACCGCCAATCGTTGAACATTCATCGCTGCCTCACCCGCCCCACTGGGTCAGCCAATTTTGGTCGTCGGCCGCCACCGCGACTACCACTCCC